AAAGTGAATTTTATATAACAATAACAATATTAAAATAGCATTCAAACTAAAATTTTAGTATTAAATTGACCATAATTTTAAATGTACTTCCTCCGTTTCACAGTGTAAGTCATTTCAGCATTTTTCACATTCATAATTTTTTCACGTAACGTACGATCGTATGATCAGGAATTAAGAAGGATAAAGCCAAAAAAAACCAGATTATATATAAAAGTCAACTAAACTTTCTAGAAACGTTCTTAAGCCGTCACGTCAATCCTACAAACGCCGCTAAACCATCATGTGGCGCTCTAATAATAAATTAGAGAAATCTAAAAAAATCTGAAAAAAAAAGGAAAACATCGTATAATTGATTTTCACTTAATATGGTGGACCCATCATTTTATCTCCTATTATCTCACCTGCTAACTTTTTCATCCAAATTTTCTAGCTAGCAGCTCAGTACATAAACAATAAGAAATGCTATATTAACTATCTATTTTATAGTAAAACTCAAATAAACTCCTTACAAACGCTCTCAACATGTCACATGCGTGGTATGCTACAAACACTCCTAAGATGCTATATGGCACATAAATAAATTAAAAATCCTAAAAATTATGATAAAAAACAAACCATTGATATTCCGTTAAATACGTGAACCCAATAATTATAACTACTACAACAAATATTTTTTTAAAAAAATTTTCTATCTATATTATTTCACATGCATAAGTAATTGCACATATGTGAGAAGTAACTAAAGAGAGGGCTAGCAGGATGGTAAAAAACCAATGAAAGTTTGTTGAGATTTCTTCACGAAAGAGAGATATAAAGAACACTCAATTCAAAATAGAAAATACGTTACTTTAATTTTAATTTGTTTTGTTAGAATTATTTTCGAAACAAACTAATGCGCATCCCCGCGCAAATGCGCGGGCTATCTTACTAGTTGTTTATAAAGGGTGAACCAGTAAAATAAAATTCACAGGAGCAATAAGATACTATGCGCTAGGGGTACGTTGTTCCACTTTAGATGGCGTAGTTCCTATAAAATATCGTTATATGTTCTACGTGTTTTCTTTTCAGTATTTCAGCTGGATATAATTAATCAGGGAGATGGGGATTTGTCCCATAACCTCGAGTATTTTATTTATCTTTTCTTGACTCATTTATCGTATGCTTGTTGGCATAGACCAAAGTATAAATCATTTCCATTATCTCAAAGAGCATATGTACTGTTGAGCATATATATGTACGTAAAATAAGCTATAGTACTATATGACAATTTCCCATTCAGGCACTTTTTTCAATTTTAGAATTAATTTTGAAGGTTTTGGGTTACTTTTATCACTCAATTTTGTTTTTGAACCTTTAAGAGATAAGTATAAAACGCCTATCTTTCGCTTATGAATCACATCCAAAATACCTCAAGCACAAGGCTTAGTTTTATTTTTCAGAACGTGCAATAGAACTACGTACATGCCGATCATTGTAATTTCGATCAATATCGCATATTTCATCGTTGCAATTTAGAAGAGTTACGTGATCAGCTATTGAGACAACGCAAACACCATAAAATATATATATATATATATATATATATATATATATATATATATATATATATATATATATATATATATATATATATATATATATATATATATAACAAATAAATCCCCTCCAATAAGAATTTTTATCATTCAAATTGCATTCATGCACTGATTCTCATTCTTCCTATTGTTTCAATGATTCCAAAGCTAATTAGATGCTTGAAAAAGGAAATCTAAGCAATTTAAAATTTATAAATTAATAATTGAAGTGAAAAAAAAATCACTACTAGAAGAATCGTTTTTCCAGGCGGCCAAAAATCATTTTCCCAGGCGAGAGGAAGGCCCGCCTGAACGAAGCCTGCGAAAATAGATGATTTTTGTAGTCAATCCAACGGCCCGCCATCTCCATCTTTGCAGGCGTCATAGCCACCTGCCTACGAAAATAGTTTACGCAAACAAAAAAAATCACTACCAAAAGAATCGCCGCCGCCACATCCCCTCCCCCTTCAGCTATATCTGGGAGGGAGGGAGGCGCTGCCTGGAGCCACTCCACCACCGCCGAGAGGGAGGGATGAGTGGGAAGCCGCCGCTGCCTGGACCTGCCGCCACCTCGACCCTCCACCCTGCCGCCGCTGCCCTCCACCGCCACCTCCACTGTAGATGAGAAAGTGGAGCCGCCGCCTCCCTCCGGCCAGATCTGGGAGGGAGGGGAGCCGCTGGCGCTGCCACCTCAACTGTCAGCACCCCCGCTGCCCTCCACCGCCGCCTCCTCCACCCTCCGCACTGACATTGCCTGTAGACGCCACCGTCCTCCCCTCTCCGGCCAGATCTGGGAGGGAGGGGAGCCACCGGCGCCACTGCCTCGACTCTCCGCACCTGCGCCGGCTTCCGCCGCCCTCCTCCACAACCTCTGCGCCACCACTGCCCTTTCCCCTCCCCCCCTTCGGCCAGATCTAGGAGGGAGGCGAGCCGCCGCCATCACCGCCTCCATCCTCGACACTGGCGCCGCCCTCCCCCCTCCCCCCTCGGCTAGATCTGGGAGGGAGGGGAACCGCCACCCCCTCCACTCTCCACACCGGCTGCCATCCGCCGCCGCCGTCCTCCCCCCTCCCCCCTCCCCCTCCGACCAGATCTGGGAGGGAGGGGAGCCGCCGCTGCCACCTCCTCCACTCTCCGCGCCGCCGCCGCCGTCACCACCCTCCGGTAGCCGCGCCAGGAGAGGAGGGGAGGGAGAGATGAGGCACCAGAGGGGAGAGAGAGATGAGGGGAGAGGGGAGGGAGCCTTAGGTGTGAAAGTGAATGACTTAGCCATTTTGGTGGATAGATGCCGCTTTTAATGTGTTTGACCTTTTTTGCAAGTGGGCCTTTTAAGATATCTCCTGTGAAAATATATTTACGCAGGCGGACCACTTAAGACTTCCGCTTGCAAAAATACCTCTATTTTTGCAGGTGGATCTCTTAAGTGGTCCGATCTCGCCTCATGTTGTCATTTTTGCAGGAGGCGATAAGGCCATTTAGCTCCAAAAGGCCTACAGCTTGGAAAAAAAATGCCATCGTCTGAAAAAATAATTTTTCTAGTAGTGAATTCTTCTAAGGCAGTATTAGATTTATACTAACCAAGTTAGAAATCTTTATAATTTAAAACAGAGTGTAGGTCTTCAAAATAAATTGCTAAAAATTGATATGACTATGAGTAGATCGCAAAGAGCATAGAAATTGCTTAGATTTATTACTGCGAGAAACAGATACTCCCTCCATCCCACAATATAATGGATTTTCAATTTTCAATTTTTGCTTGCAATGTTTGACCACTCGTCTTATTCAAATTTTTTTTACAAATATAAAAAACGAAAAGTTATGCTTAAATTACTGTAGATAATAAAGTAAGTCACAAATAAAATAATTAAAATTTTCAAAATTTTTTGAATAAGACGAGTGGTCAAACGTTACAAGTAAAAACTCAAAATCCCTTATATTATGGGACGGAGGGAGTAGTAGTCTTCTCGAAAGTGGAAAGGTTTATGACAGACACAACAAGGTGAATGATTGGCAATAGTCTTACATGTAGTGTTATTGGAAATTAAGCTCTTGCAAGTGGCTTCTGTAAATTTTCTATCTGTTGTCTGATCCATATATCAGATGCAGTTGACTTGATTTATCGCGCACTTTCATTCAAACCAGCTCACCAGTTTGATTTAGAATTTAGGATATTTGTCACCATCACATGTATTTAACTAGGGAGATTTACGGCAAATGATGCCACAATTTCTTCGCAAAACTATTGACTGCACAGATATACAAACACACCTCCTTAACACATGCTAAAAAAACAGAAACTAGCTAGTGGTAACATTGAAATTCTTATGGAATAGACTATTGTAGAGGAAGTTTGAGGAAAATAAACATAAGGTCTTACCTCATGTTTTCTTTTTCACATGTCTCGAATTACTACGTTTTCATGTTTGACTATCAGGCCCTCTTTGTTTAGGCTTAGGTTTATTGGATTAGACTTTTAAGTCAGCTTATTGACTTATATGATTTATAAGCCGGTGGATTTAGTGTCCTAAATTTAATGGTGGAGTCATGCATCTACCTCACATAAGCCAAAAAAGCTTCTCCAACTTAGCTTTTGGCTTAATAGTGTTAGAGTGGCTTATGGCTTCAAAAAAGCTAAACGAAAAAACTACTTGTTTGTTTAGGCTTAGACTTTTCGGTTTATAAGTTGGCTTATAAGCCTAAACAAAGAGGGCCTCAAACAACAGTTGTGAAGCTTTCCTGTGTTTTCAAAACCATTAGAAATCCAGTGAACATGATATTCTATTCTTACGTTCTTTCTTTTATTGTGTTTTGACAATTCTACATTTCAAATGGCCCTTAATAGTTTGAGATAGGAATAAGTCTATTTTACCTCCCCCAACTCTTGCTGCTAATTGAATCACATCCCTCAACCGCGAAACCGGGTATAAAGACTCCCCCATCTGTAAAAACCGATGCAAATCGTCTCCTTCGACGGTTTGGGAGATGGTTTCATCTGATGTGGCAATTTTGACCTCGGTGGAGAAGAGAATGAAAAGGGGGCTGACAGGTGGACCCCACCATTTTTTATTTTTATCATTTTCACTTACATGTGGGACCCACTTTTATTTTTAACTCCTTCAATGACTAGGCTACCACGTCAACACATTTAGACCAAGTCAACCTGCCATGTCAGTAAAAACCGCTTCTAAAACCAGTGGAGTCAAGTTGAACAGGTTTTTGAAGTTGGGGGAGATGTTATACTCAGTTTTATAGTTGAGGGATGTAATTCAATCAAGCGCAAGAGATGAGGGAGGATAAATAGACTTATTCCTTTGAGATAACATGGAAACACAACAAAATACAAAGCCCAGCCCACGAAGTGAAGTAGGAAGTCGAAAGGTCGGCCCAGTAAGAGCCCACGAAAGCAAAAGGCAGACCTACCCCTATTTCAAGCCTGCTCCTCCTCCGGCCAACCCGCTGCCGCCGCGACACCACCACCCGCCGCCGCCGCCTGCGGAGGGAGCGAGCGAGCCACCGCCGTCGACGGCCGCAGCGTCCGTTGCCCTCCGCGTCCGCTCGCCTTCCCTTCCCTTCCGAATCGCCGATGGCGTTCTGGGGTAAGCCTCCCCCGGATTCTTGCCTCCTAATGCTCGTCGTCGTTGTCGGCGTTCTTCCTAATAGCGCGTGGGTTTGTCTGTGCAGGTGTGGAGGTGAAGGCTGGGAAGCCCTACACCCACCGCCACGATCCCTCACATGGCCGCCTCCGCATTTGCCAGGTTCGTCGGGGCCTTCTCTTCTTCGTATGATCGCTGTAATGGTTCTTGAATGCTTCTGGAATGGTTCTTGAAATCAATATTCGTGAGATATAATGTTTGTCATAATTAATTTCTGTTTTAAGGGTTTTAGTATGAGCCAGTAAATCTGTATTAATGAAAACTTGAACTTCCAAATGCCATTGGAGCAATTACTTGGAATCTTGGATACTGAAGAAGTACAATACTTGATGTATTGACAGCCCTATTAGTGGCTCATTTTTCATTGCTCATTTGATTATCTGTATAGCTGTTGTTGCTCTAACTGATTATAGTTATTGAACTGGTTGAATGTTTGACTCGAGGCATCATAACCTTTTTTTTACATCTGTTTAGGAATATGCCACATTAATCCTTGTATGTTTTTCAGGCTACACTTGGAAGTTGCGATTCGGCTACCAGGACGATAGTACAATGTAATGTTGGTAGCAAGACGCCCATCATACTCTGTAGTCTGAATCCTAAATTGGCTGAGATGTGCCATCTAGAGGTTGAGTTGGAGGAGGACGATGAGGTTGTGTTTTCAGTACTTGGTCAGAGCTCCATTCATCTCTCAGGATATTACATTCGTTCAAGCGGCAGATCTAATGCAGGAGATGACGAATCGTATCCTTGTTGATACTTGATAGCCTCATCTCATTCTTTCACCTTTTTTTTCTTTGTCACGTTTCAAACTTAGTGTTCATTCTTAACATTGGTTAGAGAATCTTATGGGGAGGATGTTGGAGAGTCTGATACTGATCAGGAGTTTAACGCGAGTGACGACAGCTATGAATCTGACTTTATTGATGATGGTGATGTTGAAGTATCTGAGGATAAGTCCAGATCTGACTCTGTTGATGATGGTGATGCATGCTCCACCCCTGATCATCACAAAAAAAAGGGTATGTGATTGATTTGTGTGAAGCTGAATTCCTCAGCATATTATCACGTATTGATACCTGCTTTAGCATTCTTTCAACATTAGAGCTAGGAAATTTCTGATTAAACATAACAGTGTTCATGAAATCGCGCACTTATCTTTTTCATAGTATCTTTTTAGTTAAAAAGCTAAGAATAAAAATGACTTGGCTTATGAGTAAATTATCTTGCTATTGTATTTTGTCTCTCAAGAGAAGAATTGGGACTGCATTTCTTTTAGGCCCATAGAGATGCTGTACCTTTTCTCAAGGTTTAGCATGGCAACATGTTTTAATATTTTCATCTTCTCTGATCCTGCATGGCTATAATCTAGGAACACTAAGTGAACGTGTTTTTTCTCCTCTTTTTTTTTGTAAAGTTAAAACGATAGCATGCCTTTGCCATCCTACCTAGGTTATTGCTGTCCTTTTTGTTTCTATTTTTGTTTTATGCTTATGTTCCTTGTAATTTGTATTCACCTACATCTATTGTTTACTGGCAATATGTCTAGTCTACAGATTACGCTGATAATGATGTCCCACTAAATTTTGCTGAATTTCTATTTTGATGCCAACAGATAAAGTTCAAAAGAGGCGTCGCTTGAAGAAGAAACACCCAGCTGATAGCAGTGATGATAACAATGATGATTCTTCCCACAGGCCTGTTGTCAGGTGTAAGGCTTATTCAATGTTTGATAGTTGCAGTGAAGATGAAGATAACATGTCTGTTCCTGTTTCTTTGGCTAAGAAAGAAAACACTAAAGATGTTGACGAAACAAAATACCCAAATAGTGAGTTAAATGATGACACCACGAAAAAGAGTAATGGTGCCAAGAAAAGAAAAGGTGATGCCATCAGTCAGGATCATGCACCTTTGATGTAAGTGTTGAGTCTAATGTTGCTCCATGTGTAGTTCAATCCTCTTATATGTTTCTGTTGTGGTTCCTGATACATAATTTCTTACAATGTCGTGAGCAGGGATCTAACAAATGCAGATGAACCATTGGTTTCAAAAGAAGGCAGAACAAAAAAGAAATCGAAGAAAAAGGGAGGAAAACAGTTAGAGGTAGGAGATGGAAAACATTCCAACAAGATAAGAACATTAGAAGATGGATTGATAGTAGAAGATCTGTCAACAGGAAACCTAGATGCAGAAATGGCTTCTAATGGCAGCAAGGTAACCCCTGAGTTTCATCCCTGAACTGCATTTGATATTTTTGTATCTGTAGATTTTGCATCTATGCACCTGGCAATGTTCCCTTTCCTTATGATCATCTTGCAATCAGTACTCAGAATTACTGATAGTATTCATGGCAGTCTTTTGATTATACATGCTCTGCAGTCAGTGCATTAAGATTTCATGTACCAAGTTGTTTGTCCAAAAGATAAGGTGTAAGCAGCTCAGGTTTACTTGTGCAGGTTTCTATCAAATATGTTGGCACACTACAGGATGGGAAGATTGTTGAGTCTAATGTTGGTGAAAAGCCCTACAAATTCAAGCTTGGTAAATCACATTCACTTCTGCATTATTTTGAATTCTTAATATTGATACTAACAAATGTGTACCATCCTAACTCAAGGTGCTGGGAAAGTAATTCGAGGATGGGATGTCGGTATTTGTGGTAATAATTGTGGCGCTATTTATGTTTCATTATCAATTTGGAGTATCTTTTATAATTAATTAGTATGATATTGACTGTAGGCATGCGTGTTGGGGACAAAAGAAAGCTCACCGTCCCACCAGCTATGTGGTATGAATCGAATTGTTCGGTTTGCGGCTTTCAGTTCTATGTGCAAAATGTTATATGAAAGTTCTGTTTACACGTCTGTTTGCCATAATGTGTAAGGATCACCACTTATTTATTTTTTGACTGAATGGATCACCATTTATTCTGCAGTTATGGCAGTAAAGCAATAGGAGAAGTACCCAAAAATTCATCAATCATCTACGAAATCGAGTTAGTGAAGGTCAGATCCAAAAGCACATCATGAGCTTCTGCATGCTCATGTCCTATGCCGAAGGCTGCGACACGGGCTCATGCATCTCTATGTAGCTACATGCCATGCTGGAATTTTGTTTCTCCCAGGTGATGGCATGCCCTGTCTTCTGCTTTTGTTCTAGAAGGAATTATTTTGTACTACCCTACAGATTGTAATCTGTGGTCAGACTACAACTCCAGCTGTCATCTGAGATCGCCTTCAGCAGAAGATTTTGTTTGACTAGGCGATGAAACATTTTGTACGACTAAGTCCTTCAGTCTCTACAGATCTGGGGACTTCTATGACACTTTGCTAGCTGCATATGATCTTTGAAATGATCAGGTTTAATATTCTAGCGTGGTAATTTGTCGAAAAAATATAGTATGCTAAATTTTCTTAGTTTGTGTTTAATTTTCTGTTCATTCTGATGATGAATCATACAGCGAATCACATACGTAAATTTGTTTGACACGACCACTTGAGCTGTTTCTCAAGACTCTGTTTAGGGTCTGTAGACTGACTGGTTTGGTTTCGGGAAATGCTCCGATTCTGTTGTTCTCATTAGGGTTTTGCCAATTCTAGTTATCGTATATGGTCAATCTTTATTCGTCAAACGGTATAACAGAGTAAACAGGTTGTCACCTTGGGGTCTTTATATCAAATGGCGAGTTTCTCTAACATTGACAAGCCGAAAATGTGCACCAAGTTCTTGCTTATCATAGCTATTTTGCAACATTTTTCTTGAATCTTGTTTCACGAGAACCTACATTGAGGCAGGCGTTGTCGCAAGGAAATGATGATATGCAACTGCATTTTATTCCCATGCTTTTGCTCCCTTCCCATGTTTCTTAATGAATTAATGAAATGATGATATGCAACTCTCCTAGCTAGTGTTCAAGAAAATAAAAAGTCTCAGCAAAAAGAAATTTAAGCCATTATTATTAGATCACTCCAAATCACCAATACAATGTGGCAGTTCGATAGCAAGCGGCTCTGGATTGTGTGGCAAAAACAACACCTGATCCAAGGACCATCTAGCACCTCTAAGACCTTATTTCCTCGCACTTATTCAGAAACAACATACATACTGCATACTACCAGTCCCATATATGATGTAATAACCAGTCGGGCACAATCAATACGCCTCATCTTCCTCCAGACAATTTTTGTCGAGGAAGGCAGGACGCTCAAGGTTAAAGCCTAGGAGGGTGCTCCCAGGTAGGACGCCAGCCGCAGGATGTCGCAGAAGACGCCACCGGCGGTGACCTCCGCGCCGGCGCCGGGGCCTCGCACGATCAGCGGCTGCTCCTTGTACCTCGACGTGGTGAAGGCGATGATGTTGTCGGAGCCGGACAGCTGCGCGAAGGGGTGGTCTCTCTTGTACCTCTGCAGCTCTACCCGGCCCTTCCTGTTCGCCACGTCCACCACGCCCACATACCGCAGCACCTTCAGCAGGGCAAAACAGTATCACTGATTTGAATCACCTCTACTGAAAAAAATTATCCCTTTTTTTATTGTATATGGAGATTTGTGAGCTTATAATGGAATGGAGTATGCGGAATTATGCTAGATATGATGCCACGGTTTTTGTGGTATTTGAAAAATCACTGGTTTTAGTAACATGCCGATGCACTACAGTGATAATGGTAAATCAAGGAAGTGAAGTGTCTACTCACTTCTCCTGCAGCTTCAGCTTCATCGCGTTGCCTGTCCCAGTCCTGATCAAAGGACGGTAGCTTCTGCATGAATTCATCTGCTGACGAACATGACTGCGCAACGAAACAAGTTAGGAAGCACAACAAACTGTATAATATGATTTCGGATGCCAAAAAGAAAAATAACTATACCCTCAGTGCCTCTGGCACAAGGCTCTTTACGGGAATATCGGAAAGCTCGAGCCTCAGACCAGACTCCCTTGCAAGGATAATAACCTGCTCCAAACAAAAATGACCAGCTAATGCAAATGATGAAGGAAAAGAGAAAGGAAAAATGGTAAAATGGTATTCAGATTTATATGTCATCTTGATGATACCAAGCTGTTAGTTTATCAAAATCATCAAAAGAATATAAACATTTATCTGCTACCTGAAAAGTTTGTGATCGTTTGGAAGAAGTGAAGACAAAAATTATGCTCAAGAAGAAATGCAAAGCCCAAGCTTGGGTGAGATCACAACGCTAACTAAAGGCTAATACGTCTTTACATGCATGAGGAAAAATATATAGCTTACAAGGAAGACTACCAAAGAATAGAACCGACCTTTGAGAAAGGCTCAAAGGGCACATCCTTTACCCTCAACATAAATGCTACTCTAGGTATTCAAGTTAATTAATAGGGAAGAGTTAGTCCAAATCAAAATAAAGTATACTCCCGCCGTTCCTTTTTATTTACCATTCAAGGCATCAACACATTATCTAATACACAAGTTTTATTATTCCTTTTTTCTAAAATATATTCAGAAGAGCTAGTAAAGTATAATTATGTAGTACATGAAAGGTTTTTCATGAAAATTGACAAATTTTTGGATGCTATTTTCACATATCAAATATTAATATTTCAGTAACATTTTAATGAGTTAATATTTCGATGCATGCATGCTAAAATGATATCTATTTGAGAACAGAGTATCATAGTTGCCCATATATTTCTTAAGTTATTTTTGTTCGAACAATATATTTATCAAGTAGTACAGATGTTGCAAAAAAGTTTTGCTGATACTGATTGGTCCTGGTATAGTGTCCAATACTAAATAATAGCTATTATTTTTTTAATTTTGAGAGTCTTTTTTTCAAGTATGATGGAATAAGCCTTGTGGTCTTTGGTCCTTGTGGTCCTTCTCTTACTTTTAGGTTGTTTTTCCCCTTTTAGGACAGCACCCTTTCAGTTTTGCTTTTAGCATCTTTTGGTTTTGCTTTTAGCATCTCTAGGACAGCATCTAGCATCTCCTTTATGCTTTATTCAGTTTGGATGCTCTCTAGGACAGCATCGCGTTCAAATTTTAGACTAGTGTGGGCAGCAATTAGCTTGCAGCCATCCAGCCAGCTATGGCTATATATATGTATCCGACCTCCCCACGGGATGGTATGGCTTTTGAGTTTGTGAATGAAGAAAACCAGAAAATTGCCCCATCTTGAGTGCCATCCTCTTTTCAATGAGAGTAACCATTGAAATTCTAACATCTGGTATCAGAGCCACACTTTCCTGTAGGCTAAACATCTCTTGTTCCACCCCTTCCCAAGCTCGGTTGAGCTCTCAGCCGGCAGCAGCAGCAGCACCAGCTGCTCCTCCTTCCCCTTTCCCTTACCCCTTTCCACACAGTAGCCCCCCGGAGGCGCACCATGTCCGACGTTCGGTCGCCTCGAGCACTCGGCGTCAGCAGGACACCGAGCTCGCCGCAGCAGAAGAGCGCAGGCGAGCAACGGCTCAGACTGCTGCAGCAGCAGCGAGGGCGGCCAGACTGGCGGCAGCGAAGTTGGCAGCAGCCAGGGCGGAGGCGGAGGCAGAGGCAGCGGAAGATGCGGCATGTGCAGCGGAGGTAGATGTTGAGACCTTGCGCAGCAGCATCAACGGCTCCATCGCCGGCGACATCACTGCCGACAGGGAGCTTGAGGAGCTGGCAAGAGGAAGGGCACGGGAGCGAGCAGAGCGGTGGGCAGCAGCCCACCTCCACGGTGGCGGCGGCGGCCCAAGGGACCGCGCGCCCGCCGATGGGAACCCAGACGGGCGTGGGCGTGCCGGCGGCAGCCCGGAGCCCACGCGCGGCCCTCGCAGGCAGCGCGGCTCTCCTTCCCCTGACCGGCGCCATGGTCACCACGGCGTCCAGACGGTGGTCAGGGACTTTGGTCCCGGCGGTGGGTGGCCTACCCTCACCAAAACCAACTACATCGAGTGGGCCGCGGTGATGAGGGTGAGGCTCCAGGTGCAGCACATGTGGGAGGCAGTCCGGTACGGCGACGTCGACTACGACGAGGATCGGCGGGCACTGGATGCCCTCATCGCTGCAGTCCCGCCCGAGATGCAGTTCTCGCTTTCCCAGAAGCGGACTGCCAAGGAGGCCTAGGACGCCATCGCTGCGGCACGCATCGGCAGCGACCGCGCCCGCAAGTCCACACTGCAGGCACTCCGCAAGGAGTGGGAACCTGGCCTTCAAGCCAGGTGAGGATGTTGATGACTTTGCTCTCCGTCTCAACACTCTCTTGCAGAAAATGGTGCAGTACGGCGACGACACCTACGACGAGGAGAGAGCTGTCGAGAAGCTCTTCCGCTGCGTCCCAGAGAAGTACAGGCAGATCGCTCACTCGATCGAGTCTCTGCTGGACCTCTCCACGATGTCGATCGAGGAGGCGTTAGGTCGCCTCAAGGTCGTCGATGGTGATGAGCCATAGCCTCTCTCGGGGCCCATCACCATTGGCGGGAAGCTCCATCTCACTCGGGAGCAGTGGGAGGCCTCTCAGGGTGACGGGAGGAAGGGGGAGTCATCTTCCCCGACAGACGGCCGTAAGCAGCGCAAGGCGCGGGGAGGTGTCCAGCTACGATGGGCGCGAAGACGTGCCGAGGGTGGCGCCCGCAGAGGCGCCCAGGGCGGCGCCACCGGCAACCACAAGCCGGCACGAGACGACGCCTGCCGCAACTGTGGCAAGCTTGGCCATTGGGCCAAAGACTGTCGACAGCCACGACGCGGCCAGGCCCACATCGCACGGGTGGAGGAAGAGCCGGCTCTGCTCCTGGCTCATGCAAGCATCGAGCTACCTCCAGCGGCACCGGCCGCAGCGGCTTTTCTCCACCTTGATGAGCCGAAGGTACTCGTCTCCCTCTGCAACGGCTCCAGCAACGACGAGCTCTTCGCCGACACCATCCCAGCCGGTGACCCCACATGCTCCAGCACCAGCAGCCACTCCTCCGAGCACGTCTACTCCGACGCCAGCTCGTGTTGAGCGCAGCCCGGTGGAGTTCGCTACTCCGCTCTCCCACGACGGGGAGCGCATCGACGCGTACCACGACGGCGAGCAGCTACGGTACCGTACGATGGAGGATCTTCTCGGCGACCAACCGATGCCGGGACTGGTGCCTCGCGACCTGGAGGCGCAGTTGCACCTTGCGTGCGACGACGGTGAGCCTCGGTCTTTCGCAGAGGCCGAGAAACACGCGGCATGGCGTGCCGCGATGCAGTCGGAGATGGACGCGGTTCAGGAGAACCGCACCTAGGAGCTTGCTGACCTCCCTCGTGGTCACCGCGCGATCACCCTTAAGTGGGTATTCAAGCTAAAGAGGGATGAAGCCGGAGCCATCGTCAAGCACAAGGCTCGCTTGGTGGCACGCGGTTTCGTGCAGCAGGAGGGGATCGACTACGACGATGCCTTCGCTCCCGTGGCACGGATGGAGTCCGTGCGACTCCTTCTTGCGTTGGCTGCTCAGGAAGGCTGGGGCGTCCATCACATGGACGTCAAGTCGGCGTTTCTGAACGGCGACTTGAAGGAGGTCTACGTGCACCAGCCGCCGGGATTTGTGATCCCCGGCAAGGAGGGCAAGGTGCTACGCCTGCACAAGGCCCTCTATGGCTTGCGGCAGGCACCGAGGGTGTGGAATGCCAAGTTGGATTCCACGCTCAAGGGGATGGGCTTCGAGCAAAGCCCGCACGAGGCGGCCATCTACCGGCGGGGCAATGGAGGAAATGCCTTGCTGGTGGGTGTCTACGACGACGACTTGGTGATCACCAGCACCAAGGATGCGGAGGTCGCGGCGTTCAAGGAGGAGATGAAGGCCACCTTCCAGATGAGTGATCTGGGGCCTCTCTCCTTCTACCTGGGGATCGAGGTGCACCAGGACGACTCCGGGATGACGCTTCGACAGACCGCCTACGCCAAGTGCGTCGTTGAGCTGGCTGGGCTCACCAATTGCAACCCAGCTCTCACTCCGATGGAGGAGAGACTGAAGCTGAGCCGCGACAGCACGGCGGAGGAGGTGGATGCTACACAGTACCGGCGTCTTGTGGGGAGCCTTCGCTACCTCACCCACACACGGCCGGACTTGGCCTTCTCCGTCGGCTACGTCAGTCGGTTCATGCAGCGACCGACGACGGAACACCAGCAGGCTGTGAAGAGGATCATCCGCTACGTTGCGGGGACTCTCGACCACGGTCTCTACTACCCGAGGTGTCCTGGCAAGGCACACTTCATCGGGTACAGCGACAACGACCACGCCGGCGACATCGACACCAGCAAGAGCACGAGCGGGATTCTCTTCTTTCTCGGAGAGTGCCTCGTTAGCTGGCAGTCGGTCAAGCAGCAGGTGGTGGCCCTGTCCAGCTGCGAGGCCGAGTACATGGCGGCATCCGCCACTTCGACCCAGGCGCTCTGGCTTGCTCGACTGCTTGGTGATCTCCTTGGCAGAGACACTGGAGCGGTAGAGCTCAGGGTGGACAGCAAGTCCGCTCTGGCCCTGGCAAAGAACCCCGTCTTCCACGAACGGAGCAAGCACATCCGAGTGAGGTACCACTTCATCCGAAGCTACTTGGAGGAAGGGAGCATCAAGGCGAGCTACATCAACACCAAGGACCAGCTTGCGGACTTGCTCACCAAGCCTCTTGGGAGGATCAAGTTCCTCGAGCTCTGCTCCAGGATCGGGATGGCCCAACTTTCCCACAAGACGACGCATAAGACTTAGGGGGAGAATGATGGAATAAGCCTTGTGGCCTTTGGTTCTTGTGGACCTTCTCTTGCTTTCCCTTTTAGGACAGCACCCTTTCAGTTTTGCTTTTAGCATCTTTCGGTTTTGCTTTAGCATCTCTAGGACAGCATCTAGCATCTGCTTTATGCTTTATTCAGTTTGGATGCTCTCTAGGACAGCATCGCGTTCAAATTTTAGACTAGTGTGGGCAGCAATTAGCTTGCAGCCATCCAGCCAGCTATGGCTATATATATGTATCCGACCTCCTCCCGGGATGGTATGGCTTTTGAGTTTGTGAATGAAGAAAACCAGAAAATTGCCCCATCCTGAGTGCCATCCTCTTTTTAATGAGAGTAACCATTGAAATTCTAACCAAAGTAAACCAGTATCTACCTTTCTGGCAACATCAGTTCCTGATAGATCATCTCTTGGATCTGGCTCTGTATATCCAGCTTCTTTTGCTTCAGCAACAACATTACTAAAAGTTCGTGTACCTTCAAAATTGTTGAAAATATAACTCAAAGTCCCACTGCAATGGAACAATCAACACTGTATCAGCCAACATTGTCTAATTTATGGAACACAAAAGGATGAATTTCTATCCAAGTAAACTTCTGAGGAATTTTTGTGGTTTAGTAAAATTACAATATTGTCAAGTTTAATTCTGGTACATTACTGAAGCATAAACGCACCTGAAAATGCCCTCAATACGCAATATCTTGTCACCTGTCTCTAGAAGACCTCGTAGGGTGCTAATGATTGGAAGGCCAGCACCAACAGTTGCTTCATAAAAGTAATGAGTATACGATGCACGCTGCAGAGTCCTTAATTTCAGATACTGCAAACAAAGGGGGAAAATGATTTCATAGTGGATAAACAACCCAGCAGCATACAATGCTACACGACAGATGCACATTGATTTCTTAAGTTTCCAGTGGCTATGTATGAAATTAACAGGCTAGTAATCAGATTTACTTCATGGATTTTCTTAGAAATAAGTTATCTGTTGATCAGTCATGAACAAATAATTCCGACTCTTAGTTCGTCTTCACTGCAGGTTTCTTGAACACGGGGAATTCTTATTGAAGTAAAAACCAACTAGCTACCCAGACTCGGTCGGCGATTATTGAACAACTAAAAAACAGATTGTTTCAAAATAAAAAGGCAACAATATATGCCTATACAAGTCTTGCCAGTAAGAAAATTACCCGATCAAGCGGACCAGAATTTGCTTTCTTATTTGGCGTGATGACATGGATACCCTTCTTCAACCAATCATAATAGTGGCATGCTACGTATGTATCTGCTGTGCAGTCCACCAAAACTTTGTTTGGAAATACATGATTTTCAGACAAATGGCGAACAAAACTATCAAGATCTGCTGGTTCTGCTTCTTTTCGTAGAAGCTCTTTCCACTGGTTTAAGTCTACCCCTCTACACAAAGAAGCCAAACAAAACCAATGAAACAAGCAGATTTGAGCAAAATTTAATATACCAGCAAAACTAAAAAATAGTGATGACCAAGCTATTAAGTTAATAAAGCAGTTTATTCAGCAAGGCAAGGAAAAAAAAACATAAGAATGATGGTCAATATGTAATTCAAACTCTTGAAAAACTCATGCCTTACTAATTGGATATGACTCCTGGAAATTTGAAAGGCATGTTATCATACAAAAGCAAGTACTGTCCATCAAATGTAACGTGATATCTCAATAACAGTACATCAAAAAATAGTTTCCTGTTAATCATTATTAGGGTGGCACAATGAGGGAGCATCAGAATCTGATGGACAACAAAGCATGACAATTACATGATGACATTGACATTCACGAGAATGGTGAAAAGAAAGACCAATAGACCAAATAATGGTACAACACCCTCTTTTAGTCTATCATATAAGAGAATTTACCAATGAAACTGTATTGAGGAATAGAGGAAGATTGAGTTTAGACACAGAGAGAGGGTTCACTTATGTACATGTCACTCAAATGCATCGTTCTTGAGCCAGATATTCCAATAACACGTAGATCAATATTCATATTTTCCTTGAGAACAGCAGCCTGCATAAGTATCTAAATCAGTAAAAGTGTAGAAGTGCTGTGAAGTCAAACTTTAAATTGCTCCACTGTGAGATAAAGCCAAAACAAATCACTTTTTGTATAGGGTTTGTAACATGAATGGTTTATACTGAGTCTTGATCATACTAGGATCAAAATGGGTCAAGTATATTATGCTCTTGAAATCTTGTCATACCCAATGTAATGGGCATGGTTAGGGTGACGGCCTGCAGACCTAATTGAGTTGTTCCTAGACCCAAGTGGCACAATGGAGGCAGCCACAGCACAAGGGAAGGAAGAGAGAGATAAGACTAAGGAACAAAAGATACCTGATCTTTCAGCTGGTCAAGAAGTGTTCCACCAATTAAACCTGGTCCAATGATCCCAACGGCAAGAGTGGTTTTGGAGAGGAAGAACCTTGAATGAACAGCTCTCAAAGCCCTCACACAATCTTCTTGCTTCAACACAACAGTAATATTGTATTCACTGCAACCTTGGGCTATTGCTCGTACATTAATATTTGCCTGAATCCATTGTTACAGGATAAATCAGTCCCAGAAACAATAAAGTCTCAATTCAATCAACCCAACACTCTAATTACCTTTGCTAATGCATCAAAAAGGATTGCACTGACTCCAGGAGTACTGGCCATCCTCAAGCCAACAGCAGCAAGAATGCTGCACCCACGAATGACTTCGACCTGGAAATAATTGATTGCAAGGAAGGAGGATCACAAACAATGCAAATACCCAAACATTTTGTATGACAATGGTATTTGGCACAATATTGGTGAACATAGAATGAATATTCCAAAACTATCATGTCTGCATTACTGTACTTGTCTTAGTCTGCATTACCGTACATCATATGGGTTGTGCTATTTCTATTGAGTTAACTTTGCTCAGGACTTCGGATATGTGTATTGTCTGTCCTACTCATCCTTGGTCATACGAGCATGTTCGATACATTTAGAAGAGGGAAACTAACTCCAGTTTTTAAGGTAACATTTGCAGGGTTTACATCAAAACTATATTTGTCAAAGAACGAAAGAAAGTGTTCACATGGTCATTTGTAAAACTATAGTTACCTTAGATAGCCTTCCAGCTGCTAATGCCTCACGAAACCTAACATGCAAGGCTGTCGAGACTGCTGCAACTTCCTTTTCTGGAACAGCAAAGCATACCGAGTGTTCGCTGCTAGCCTGAACAGATGTTGCAGTGAGGAAGAACCTTAATGAATCATAAGGAGATACAAAATATCAAAAGAAAACGTACCTGAGATATCATGATAACATTAGCTCCAACATCCTTGGCAGCACTAAATATGGCACTTGCTGTACCTGGAACACCAGCCATTCCAGTTCTGCATCAAACATACTGAACCATTAAGACAACAGAAGAAACCAGTTTTACTATTAAGGACATCTTGCATTTGGAATTGATGATTTAATTCTCTTGTTCTTTAAACTTGCTAGATCAGCACAAAATCAGCACCTAGAGTTGTAAATGGCATGTTAAAACAGGACCTCTAGCATATTTCATCCGAAACACAAGGCACAAACATTCTTCTGATGGCTTGAAGCTATCAAAGATCCCAAAGTATTGTATGTGACTAAAAGCATAACTTGATTATGTACAATTGAACAGGGAAGTTTGAATAATAAATTATGCTAACTTACCCTTCCACATTAACAAGGGCCAATTTGTCTATAGTAGCAAATGATTTGACACAAGCATCTAAATCAGCATTTTCATTAGCAGGCTGCTTGCAAATTGTTGTTCCAGGGGCAGATAGATTGAACATATTCCTAATGACAATAGGAATATTGTCTTTCATCACAGGTATAATGGTGCGGGGATGCAAAACATTTGCACCAAAATATGACTGCACAGAACATATTCAAGTTAGATCAATAGAAAGGAGAGAACAGATCCAAGAAAGCAATAAAGTTTGGTGCGATTTTGAATGCAAGAAAAGAGGCACTATTGCTGGGTCACAGTGTCCAGTAAACCACTTCGCCTCCGTGAAAGACATCAGAGTGATGAAAAGAACTCTTCTAATGGACTAGGCCCTCTTGCATATCATGCTGCTTCCCATTCTTGTTATGCCTCAGTGTGCACAAGTAATAAAACAAATCAATGGCAGTAAACGAACAAATGCCCTAAGAGACATTACCATTTCCCAGGCCTCCTGATAAGATAATGTGCTTAAGATCACAGCCTCACTAACTGCATCATCAGAAGATTATTAATCAGACATATAATTAATTCATTGGTAAAAGAGACAGCCCTGTGTAAATAAAGAATTTCCTTGCAATTTCCCCTAAGTATAGTATTGCGTATGCAAATGTTTGATAATCAAACGGCAAGCATTTAGTCTAAGACTCTTGTAGGACAAACCTTTTCTAGGATCTGCACTAAATACCCCATCAACATCAGTCCAGATAGTGACCTGACATGCCCTAACAAGGGATCCAATTATTGATGCTGAGAAGTCGCTTCCATCCCTTTTAAGCGTAGTAGGAATGTTTTCGGCTGTACTGGCAATAAACCCAGTAGCGATTATTATCTCTGCTGGTTGTCGTGAAAACCATTTCTGGAGTCGCTTCTCAGATTCCAAATAGTCAGGATCGACCTGATTAGAACCACTAGGTTTCACTACTAGAACTTCTCTTGTATCCATCCAACTGCAAGGCACCCCAGACTGCATGATTTAGATAGGGTGGTACATGTCAGGTCAGTTTGTTCAGAAGGCAAGCAATAGATCAAATTTCTAGATTCTGTCATAAAGGAAAAGGAGAGTATGTTGTTTCTCTTTTCATAAATTTATTCAAGATATATCATATATCATTGATCAGGAAGTAGTAAGTATTCCTGTCATTCATTTTTACTTCTCATTTTACAAGTCATGTCCATGGTTGCTTTTTACAATCATATATTCATAAAATAATTCCAAATATAAATACATTAAAATATTTTCATGACAAATCTACTAATGTCTTTTTCACTTACTAAACCGTAACATGTTTGCACATATTAGCAAGCTATGATTTCAAGGTTTGAATGCACACATTCTAAAATGACATTTATTTAAGAATGGAGAAGTAACATTTACACACTAATATTAACCAAGTTGTCCTACTGAACTACAGCATCATATGGTGGCAGACTGGCAGTTGCACGTAATATATTAAGACAAGGTCTGAACTACAAAAGCATATGTTGTTGCTGCATATGCTGCAGGATTTGTAACTGAACTTTTGGAAAGTCAGAACAGCCTCTTCAGACTTCAAGGCTTAATTTTACCCCTGATACTAACTTCACATTTTACTCTGGTTTGTTGAAAGAGAGGGTATTAGTATGTGCAAATGTTATTGTATCATTGTAGTTTAGTTGTCCATTAACATAATCCATGCAGTGTAGGAAATATTGATTCAGAATGAATAAACCATCTGCAAAATCCATTTTGTTGAACCTTAGAGATATTTGTAAAAATGTTTCAGGCATATTTTTTACGTCACCTTTTTTATAGCATACGACAACATTTGAGCTGACCACAACTCTCCATGCCCAACAACGAAATCAGAGAACGATTCTGTTGCATGTCCAGCTGAAACATACATAAACAAACAAAGGTATTAAACATCTAAAAAAATCATGACACTCATGTTACTGCATATATACTCAAACAACTGCAGTGAAGTTGGAAACAGTATGATAGTTTCCCCCTAATTTAGGCTAGATGTAGCAGGGTCACTGCAAGTTTCTGGCAGCAGTGGATAAAACGTCACTGTTCGAACAGATGCATAGGCCTCAAAAAATAAACACTGATAAAAGATAAATACTATCAAGCGATGGTGCTTCTGATGTAAATGTCAAAGCATGGTTAGCTCAGGATCAAGCAAACAAACTTCCTATGAGCCATGCAACAACACATATTCCACCGAAAACAAGACTTCTAACTTAAAATAAATTAACATGGATATGGATAAAGCTCAAACCTATAAAAATAGCACGAAGCATCGCTCTCAGGTTACTGATGTCAGAATGCAACTGAGCCAAGAATCTTGCTAGGTCTTCTCCATCAAGAAGTTCCTTTGCTGCAGCCATATGCTTATTAAAAACTTCATCCAGTGCAGTCACATAAGAATTATCCCTTGACTGAGCTTTATGCACAAGGTTGAACATCATGTCAGTGACTTTGGACATTGCAGAAACAATGATCAGCTTCCTCTCAGAAGAGTCACCAAGAACAATATCAGCAACATTCTGAATTCTCTGGGGTGTTCCCATACAGGTGCCACCAAACTTGTGCACAGACCACATGTCACCTTTTGGAAGATAAGTACTGACTTCAGCTTGTTCAATTGAAATAGCCGCTGCAAGCAAAAAGTATGCATGCAGAGAGACGTAATAAATTAACATGGTTAAATGTCTGGTAAAATAAGGTTAGAATGTTATAGACTACCGACACCAATAGCACTATATGAACTTGAAAACTGAGATGGAAACAAGAAAGAGAGAGGCTAATATTGCAGTATTGTGTTGAATTGAAACAGATTAACTGAAATGAGCTATTCAAAAACTGACCCAGGTTGACCTTGGAAACTGAGGCACCCGCAAGCCAAATATGGGAAGGAAACTATGTATGTATTGCAATATGGCATAATATAAACTAGCACTGTTGCATAAAAGCAGATAAACTATTTTTTTCCAGGCATCAAGCTTAAGGTAGATTGGCCCAGGGCAAGTCTTGTGCCTTGCCATACCCAGGCCTTTGAGCAAGTCTGAACAATAAAAAGTATCACTAAAGCACCCTGGTTAGTCAAAATGAAGACCAATCCATATTTTTCAACTAATAGCTGAATTAACAGCCACGTTTTAAGAAATAAATTATAAATATTTCCAGAAAAGATAAGGCAGTGCTAATTTAATTTCTTGAAAGATAAGAAAATCAAATAATAGTCTTGCATGGTGGAAAGCAGATATACCAGCAGCTGCGAGCAAATTCCTGGAACCATGTCTTTGCAAACTACCTTGTGAGTGACCTATCCTGAATAAGACAGTAACAAGATAAAAGGAATATTAACTGATGAAGAAATATCGTTATCATATACTCCTAGAACATAATGCAGATGATAACACAAGACTTCAGAAGTTAATTACTGCTCCCTCCGTCCCAGACTAGACTGAAAAACATGTTCCAGGAACAATGTATTAAATAACTTTTAGAAGATCGGACAGCAAGCAGTGCAAATGCAACTGTATCTAAAAATTGTATTGAATAACTTTTAGAAGATCGGACAGCAAGCAGTGAAAATGCAACTGTATCTGAGAATGACTTTTACAACTAAACAGCAAGTGAAATTGTCAAATGACAGCATAGTTCTAGTTGAAAGGTACTTTATTAATGTACAGCAGCATTCACTGCAAAAGGGGGAATTATCTACCTTAGGGAGTTCCCCAAAGGTTGGTCCTGATTTATCTCACACTTCCAACATTGTGAAATCACTTCCCTGAAGATTTGCCAAGCAGCATAGCATCAATGTTATGAGAAGAAGATAAGCTAAAACTTGTACAGAAGACGTTGCATGGAGTGAACAAGTAGTAACAGCAAGTTAACAATGCAATATCTTATCTAAAAATGATGTAATGAGTTGATTGAAATTGACATGGACTAAACTAATCTCCGTTGAAGCCCACCAGATTACAATTGATTCAAATATTTCATTGACCCACCATTTGTTTCACAACTTATGGAGACTGGTATTTAGGAAAAAATTGAATTCCATCAGTCTTGTACCAATTATGGCTTGGGAGGCCAACAGTATGAAATCTGAAGATCTCATGGCTTATCCTGAATTTGCATGGTTGGCACTAATACTAAGAAATCAATCGTCTGTTTTCTTCTTCCGTGACTGCACTCTGCACAGGCAAAGGCTAAAACTATCGCATAATCTGAATTCTGAAACAGTTTGTACGAGAAATTCCACAGTTACGTCGAGAGAGATGAAACGCAGAACTCTCAGTTCATGAACTATTAATAAATCCCATCAAAGCAGAGAAGGGAGCAACCAATCGGCCTCATCCACCAACTCTAACACCACCCACAGCCGGATTTCCCTACACCACCTCCCATCACTCGAACATCTCAAATCTCCGATTGAGTATGCAAAACCAACTGCAAGCACGCCAGCCACATCCATTGCGGCCTCTCTCCGGAGGAGGACGAGGCGCTAGCCGCGGCGATCGGGCCGGTGACCGCAACCCCTCCGGTGACGGCCGGAAACCCACCCGCGCGACGTCCACCTGAAATGCGACGGCCGTTCTGCGAGTCCGTCCCACCACCCACACACGCACGCACGCGACCCATTTCGCAGCAACGAACAACGACACACAACGCGGCGGAATGGGATGGCCGTGAGAGTGAGAGAGAGGGATGTGTCCCGAACCTTCCGGAGGCGGATGCGCGTGGCCGGCGGCGAACCGCGGCGGCGGGCGGGAGGGGGCTCGCGACGGCGAGGCTCCGCATCTCGCCGGCGGCGCGTAGGGGAGAGAGAGAAGCGAGTGACGCCAAAAACCCCTTCCCTTGTTTAACCCCCGCACCCACGCCGCGTAGCTGCGCACGCCCGCGCCCGCCGCGGCTTTTTCATCACGTCGTCGAACCAAATTGCCGAGTTAATTATAATTATATCCGGATGAGTACTTTGTTTCTTTTTTTTTTGTTTTTTTATTTGCAAGGTTTGGCGAGATTTGTTTTCTACTGATGAACCTGGACAATGACACTATAAATTAAATTTGGTTGTCGATTTGTTGTCAGCGTGAATTAGGATGTGAAAAATACACAAAGGTTTTAGGTTTGTTACAATATGTGTAAAAAAACTGATGTGAAAAATACACACAGCTTGGAATCGTATTGCCAGCGAGACAAAGATATTGGTTATATAATAATAATAATAATAATAATAATAATAATAATAATAATAATAATAATAATAATAATAATAATAATAATAATAATAATAAGTTTTAGTTATGCTGAAATAAGCGAAGTATAATTCTCATGTGCTCTTCAAATCTTCAATCATGCATGCCTATCCTCATTTGTGGTACGCTCTCTACTTCTCTGATTTAGTATATCGTTAGTTTTGAAAGTGATTAGCTTGTCAAGTTAATTTCTTTAAACGCTGAAAATATTAATGCCCAACATAACAATCATGCGACCAAATTACACAGCCCATGCGATGCTCGTTTTAATTTAGAAGCTTGTTGTTTGGGGTTTCTTAACAAGAAAAACGTGAAAAGGCCATGCATGAGTTTCGCATGACTTCGATACGTAGGAGTACAATATTATTTCTTGTAGGAACTCAGGAAAAAGATTCTACACGCACTCAATCTAAATGAGGTTTACGCTTCTTTAAAAGAAGAAATTCTTTATATATCCCTGAGTTTACCATCAATTTATTTGACCTCTTAGGCTGTGTTCATTGATTTGGGTTAGAAACTCATCTCCTACGCATGGAAAACGGAACGATCCATTAACGCGTGATTAATTAAGTATTAGCTAATTATTTTCTTTAAAAATGGATCAATATGATTTTTTTAAAGCAATTTTTGTATATAAACTTTTTTAAAAAAACGTACCATTTATCAATTTAAAAAGCATGCGGACGAAAAACAAGGAAGATGAGTTGGGAAAACTGGGGAAAGATCTCAATCTTACATAGTTCAATGTGAACTAGTCATTGATTTTTTTTTTTCAAAATGACTATATTATCCCACTCGCTTGCTTATACACTAGCTTATTTTTTTAAAAAAAAAAAACTTGATTCTCAACATGAACAAAGATTCATTTGTTTAAAAAAAAGAAGATAAGATTATTTGTCTGAAAAATTGAAAACTGAAAATTCAACCTTTTTTAATAAATATAAAAATAAAATTTAATGATATTCATACAACAATTTCACCAAAATTTTAAATCAACTAAAAAAAATTTTTGTTTTCAATTCCCAATGAAATCCTTGCATGGATCTGATTGAAAATTTTAAATTTTGTTTGAAAATTTCAAAACTTATATAATTTTAGCATAAATAATTTATCTCATTTTATTTTATTTTAAATTTAAAAGTTATATTGAGATTTATATTTTTAATTAGGTAGCACATAGATATGAGAAATAGGCAATAAAGTCATTTTGAATAAAACTAACAGTTAACTAATGTAATGCATATAGTGAGAATCAAAATAAAAATTCAAGTGCGTATATAAGGGATAAGTTCAAAGACATTAAAAATGATAAGACTATTAGAAAATTGTCAGAAAACTTTCAAATATAATTTATAATGTATTTGCACTATTATTAAAATACATGTAACTTCCATAAAAAATGTACTTAAGCTATATAAAAATTCCAGTGCAGTTATATCATAGTTAACAATATTTGCGGTAATTATTTTAGCAATTCCCAGAATAATTGAGTGAGAACTCAGGAGCAATTTCCCATCTCCAAGATGTGAAATGGCAGTGTCGCTTTCTCCTCGATCCCATCAGATCTCATATTGGCCGGAATACCCAAGATAAACAAACCACAACAGGCAACAGAGGAACACAAAAATAATTCGCGCCTTTTGTTTTCTCAGGCGGGGGTGTGTGCATGCATGATCGATTGTGTTAGTGCAAAGCTAGTGAAAGTGAGTCGCGGCGGCAGTTGGCGGAAAGGAGCCGATCGATCGACGGCGACAGCAGAGCCCCAGAGGAGGCGGACGGCTACCGGTGGCCGCGCGGCGAATCGAATCAAATCACCAAAATCACTGTGCGATAACGCGAACGGTGCGTGCACACGTCGCTGTCTCTCGTGTCGTGTGTCCCCCCGCGCATGCGTTGCGCACCGGTATAATCTGGCTCTGGGGGGGTGGGGTGGGGGCTAGTGACTTCAATGTGGTGGTGGCCCCCTCCTCTCTTTGGAGTTGGCTGTTATTCATGTGTCTTTGATTTGAAGAAAAAATATAAAAATTTTAAAGGATTTAAATTTTATAGAAAAATTTTCTACGAAGGTATTTGAAACAAAAGATTGAATCCTATATCATCGTTCGAAATCCCTATAGAATAAACAATCATATACAGATTTTACAGAAAATTTAGTAAGAGCTTAAACCTCTTGAAAATTTCATTTTGAGTTTATCTCTCTCATCTGATTCCTATGTTTTTACTGCGGTCCAATCAAATGATTATCCCTATGTTTTTCTATATTTTGCAATCATTTGTTTTGCTCTTGTTAGAATCATGTGTTTTTCCTTTCCTCAATTTTTGTATTCATGTGATTCAAAGGGCACTCACTGTTTCCTTTACTTTTACCGTTTAACTATCCTCATCCAACCTTATATTACATAAAACATATCCTACTACAATTAATAAATCTAGACAGACCATGTAGCTATATTGATAAAAGGAGTAGAGTAAGATTTATTTCGAGTTGTTCCTTGCGTGCTGTAGCACTTGTGTTCATAAGTTCTGTCTTCTCAACTTCATCTCCCTCATTTTCCTTACGCGCTTATCAAACTGATAAACGACGTATTTTTTTTAAAAAAAAATTCTATAAGAAAGTTATTTTTAAAAATCATATTAATCAATTTTTACATTTTTTCTAATATTTAATTAATCATACAGTAATGAGTTGTTTCGTTTTACATGCCCATGAAAAAGAAATTCACAACCATAACACACAAACACAGCCTAAGGGACAATTTATCTAAGTCTCTCCCTTCCTCACATAAAAAAACAAATCCAGTACGAGATGTCACACATTATATTACTTCAAATTTGGATACGATGTATCACGTCTCCTATTAGTTTGTTTTATGGGATGAAGGGAGTAGTTTGTTTTGGGTGTTCTACGATAATTCACGACACAAAATGAGAAAAGCCAATGTATGATAATTAAATATTAATTATTACAGACTTAAAAAATTAGGTTTATTTGATTTTTTAAGAAAACATTTATATACAAAGTATTTCCTTTTTGCAAAAGAACTCACCGTTTAACAATTTGTGAAGCATGCTAGCAGAGAACAAGAAAGTTGCCACACCTACATCTTGTTTGGCATAGCTCTAGATAGATTTAAAGTTATATATTAACTATATATGTTTAAAATTTTAATAGAAATAAATTAATTTATTTAAATGTTATCGTTATAATCGTAGATCTATAAATTTATGTGTTAGGAATGCCCAGCTCAAAAAAAAAAAAAAGGAACCGGAGCTATACCGTCCTAAACTCACTGCCAAATGGGGCCTAAGGTTGACTTCGTTTGGACAAGGTACGGCAATTTTCTCATTTTCCGTAAGCACATTTTTTTAAGTCTATAGAAATTAATACTCAACTAAATCATATGCCAAGAAAATATCTCACAATTAATGACACATTTTCCTCTTCGAAAATTCATTATTCGTAGGGAATCAAAGGTGGCACTCCACGCGTGTAGGATACATATTTGGAGTTTTACCGCTTTTAGCGATGACACCGGCCACAGGCTTTAAATTATCAATGCATAGAAGGAGACAAAAATGCAAAAATGTCTAGAAAGACCGAAATTTAAACCAAGTTATGGAACGTGAAAGTTGATTAATCGGAGTTTGGTCAAGTTTTGGAATCCACCTCAAACATGCAAGTTTATGCTGACAACTTATGGTTAGGGGTGGATTCAGGATCTTTTTGGAGGAGGGACTCATCCTCTTGTTCCTTTCAGTCCCTCTTGCTGTTCTTCATCGTATCTTCCACTTCTTCCTTCTTCCCCCTCACATTTTCTGCATGAGGATCATCCAACAGGGGACTCAAGTATGGTATGATCCAGGGAAATTTCATTTCAAAATCAAGCAGAACATGGAGTGTGTAGACTGTAGTAGAGTATCATTTACCTATCGAATCATGGTGCTCTCCATGACTCCATTAATTAACCTCCTTCCATTTCTTTTCACCAAAGCAGAAGAACATGCACCTATAGTTACCTACTGCAGTAGACAGGATCAGGGTCCATGTGCTAAAGCCATCCAGCAGCATTATCTGCCCAGAGAAGAGACAAATGCTAATCAAACAACCTTTACAATTACTCAATGCAATTAGCAACTTCATTGTGCCTCAAGCTCATTGTTAATCAGCATGCATGTAAAGCATGGGCTGACAGCTTTCATGTTGCTGCTGTTACTGCCGTTAATCACTAATAATTATCTAGTTAATCAATTGTTGTTGATCGATCGGTCACTCATGGACTGCTCACTGGGTGTCTCTTCAGCGAACGGAGGAGGCGCCGTACAATGGGACGGCACGGCATGAGGTTTTAGAGTGAGACCCTTCTGATTTTTGTGGTTGCGGCGCTCTTGGATACAGGATCCTCCCTCCGTGATAAGGAGTTTAAAATTCATCAAAATGAAAATATAGAGTTGTACTTCCTCGACTCGACCAATCACATCTACCTCAAATTTAGTTTTTTCTCACATATTTTTCCATTTCAATCAATCATATCTATTTCAATTCTCAATCTTAATTGTTTTTAGAGGTCAAAAGCTAGTTTCTCCAGCTTCTCCAAATTTCCACCATCATGTGGTTGTCAGAATCCGAAGCGCCACAAACAACGCAATAGGATGTAGCATTTGTGGGCTCTGCATGGATTTCGTGAGGGGTCTGACACCACTAGCACAAAGATTGCATAGACACCACTAGCACAAATATTGCATAGATTCATACTATATCTCAAGCTTTTCTGATAGGGTGAGTGATTGGAACACTTGATGGAGACCAATTTGTGTGTATTGTATACGCATAATTGGAGTTGCATGCAGATAAAAGGATTCTTGCAGTGTGTGGATTTTATATGTCTATTTTTTTTTCATTTGAGGGCCTGTTCAGATTATAGCCAAAATAAACCTTGCCAAAATTTTAGCAAGATAGGCAGCCTATCTTGCTAAAATTTTGGCAGGATTTCTTATGTATTTATCAAATTTGGCAACAAACTAAACGCAGATATTTTTTTGGTAACTTTGAAAAAAAAATGGTATGTTGAAAATGGCATAAACCTGAACCGCCCCTGAGACTTATGTGCATGGTTCAATTTGTGATGTGAGTAGTAAGCCCAGTTTCAGCCACAGGTTTATTTTTGCTCTATGTGAAAAGTTTGGCCAAAAACTGATAATGAGTCACCTCAGAATTTTGTCCTGCCCTGTGGAGGGAAAGTGAGATGCTAGGTAAAATATATGTTTCCTGAATATGGATATTGCTTGATTTCCAGCACTGGGGGGGGGGGGGGGGGGATAAACAGGCAGAGAGAAGAAATGAGAGCCATAATAAAAATATTATGGCTAGTCGCTTTATCGATACGGCGGTAGAATCATACGAATGTGAGCTAGTTTCTCGAGTGACATGGAAATATATAGTCGAAAATGCTCAGTTCATCGCTTTGAAATATCCCACGGTCATAACCAATTTGGACGAATAATCTTTGATTCCCTACCCAGTTTAGCATGGATTCACATGCTAAAAGACTAATTCGAGTGTGCCCATCGCGGAGTCATTCTACACGGTTTTAATATTTGGACTTGGAGGAACTGTTCTATCTGTTTTGATTTAGGGATGCCAATCAGATTCAACGAGTTAAATTGGAAATTCCCCCCCTCAAGCTAACGCTTTTCCACAAGGAGCCTGTTCTCCAATTTACAGATAATCTGGCCCAGAGAGCCCAATTAGGTACTTCGGCAGGCCTAAACTGAAGTCCGGCCCAGCACGAGAGGAATAAGTTCACTTTGGTTCCCTCTATTTATTGCCCAGTCCAATGTTTGTCCCTTAATCGCAAAACCGGGTACAACGGATCCCCAACTTACGAAACCGTTTAAATAATGTCCCTCGACAGTATTTGACTCCGGTTTTGTCTGAGGTGGCGCCGACGTGGCTTCTTTTGACTAGGTCTTTGTCCAACGTGTTAGTGACGTGGCGCTGACGTGGCAATTAGATAAAAAAATAATAATAAAACTTGTGGGGCCACATGTCAGCTGCACACACGAATAATAAAAATAGTGGGCCCATGTGGACCCACATGTCGTCCTCACTATCTTCTCTCTATCCCCTCTCTCTATCCTCTCTCCCCCTCTTATCTCTCTCCCGCTCCTGGGCGGCGGAGCGGCGAGGAGGCCGGCTGGAGCGGGCGGCGGCTGAGCGACGAGGAGGTCGGCTGGAGCGGGTGACGGCGTGGCAGCACTGGGGGGCGCTGGGCGACGACCTCGGCCATGGAGGGCCGGCTCCTGGGGTCCCCGGAGAGGCAGCGCAGCGTGAGCTGGGCCGCCTGCTGCGCCGCCCTGGACGGGTACTGCCCCTCCAGCCGCGGGTCCACCAGCCACGCCAGCTTCCGCCGGTCCGCCAGGTACGGCTTGGCCCACTCCACGAGGCTGTGCTGCAGCGCCGGCCTCCCCGTGTCTAGCGCCCGCATTCCCGTCAGCATCTCCAGCAGCACCATGCCGAACCCGCCACCGTCGGCGACCTTGTTGTTCCTCCCCTCGGCCATCTCCACGTCGTCGTCGCCGGCCTGCTTGCCGCGGTTGCTGCGGCGGTGGGAGCGAGGAGGAAGACGAAGATGCAGGCAGTGATGGCGGAGGAGGAAGACGAAGATGCCGGCGGCAGCGGCGGCGGCGAGGAGGAAGATGAAGATGCCGGCGGTGGCGGCGCGCTGGGGGTGGTGTCGGTTTGGGGGATGGTCCCGTCGCCTCGCCTCCTTTCCCCTGCGCACATGAAGAAGAGAGGACGATGAAGAAGAGAGAGAATGGATGGGGAAGAAGGGAGGAGTAGCTGACATGTGGGGCCCATGTGGGCCCCACCATTTAATTTTTTTAGCTGACATATGGGTCCCATGTTTTTTTTATTATTTTTCAGGGATCCAATTGCCACGGAAGCGCCACGTCAATACCACGTGGGACGAGGATCTAGTCAAACCAGCCACGTAGGCGCCACGTCATCCAAAACCAGATATAATACTGCCGAGGGATCTCGTCTGCACGGTTTTGTAAAGTTGAGGGATGTATTGTATCCGGTTTTCTGGACTGAGGATGAAAATTAGACTGGGTGACCAATAGAGTGACCTAATGTGAACTTATTCAAGCACAAGAACACTGCTTACCTCTACTATCTCTACTCTCTACGGGTTGTGTTTGGAATCACAGGTACTCCCTCCATGCCAAAATATAAATATTTTTAACTATAAATCTGGATAATAATATGTGTCTAGATTCATAGTCAAGAGTTGTTATATTTTGGGACGGAGCTAGTAAGCACTAAGCGATGTATTTTGTATAAAAAGTTTCTTTTAAAAATTAACTTAATATTCTTTTAATTTGTTTTAAGTTAATACTTAATTAATACTCTAATGAGCTGTCTTGTTTTTAGTGCGGGGAACAAGTTACAAACCCTTATCAGTTATCACAGCCTAATCCATGTGCCAATCGATTCTCTGGAGTTTGGCCTCATCTCTATCGTCTGGATTTAAGCCAATCCTAACGATTGACTATCGTCTACTCTATGGACTAAGATTAATTTGTAAATTAATCTCTCCTTCCGGCATTATCTCTAGCTCCAGCAAATCGCCTTCTTCGGCGGGGATAAACAATCTTCACGCTCAATGCGGACACCAAAACCGGCGAACAAAACGTAAACAGCCTTTTTTGCTTGACCAAAAAAAAAAAAAAAACAAAAACAAAAGGTAAACAGGTAACACCAGCATGGCCCTTTGATGAATGTGGTAAACTACTGTTCTTAGATGAATAGAACCCACATGTTTAACAGGGATATACACAAAAACCAACTAACCGCATGATGGTTTAGATAATTGGACATGATCTGATGCAGGCCTTTTGCCCTCCTATCCTCCTGATTTCTGAGGATAGCACCAACAACTATATCTCTGATCCCCAAGAAACAAAAAAAAAATTGTCAACCTCATGTTGACCACCTATCGTTACTATTATCATAGCCTCAATGTGGTGTCCGCCTTGGCTCTGGTAGACCCAGGATTCACCCTCTGAGGCTGGAATTCATGGCAATGAACTCCTATCCGGGTAAATTCCTTGATGAGTTCATCAAATAACGTCTTCAAGGAGCCTTTGAAGTTCGCTGAGCAGCTTTTGTCGCCTTCATCAACATCCTGCACTCCGTTTCCTGCAAGGCATCCAACTTGGGCACCATTCATGTAGGCCTTGCATCCTACGAGGATATTGCGCCCGTACTTGCAAAAATGAACCCTTGCGAAGTCTTCAAAATGCTGCAAAAGTTGCACCCGGATTATTCAGCAGCTTTATGTAAGGAACTCAGGCATCAACGCATGGCAAAGCAAAATAGACCATTCAAAACAATACAGGTTCATCACACCCATCTTTATCAACAATTCAGCATATTAATCTTCTTCACCAAACGGGCAGACACATTATTTACACCATTACAATGGAAACAGTTAACGATTAGGCATTCTTCATCAACAGAAATGACAACAAAGATTATTGGATGCGAAAAAGAATAGAACATATATATCCACAACAAATAGGAAGGAAAACATGTAAGCGTAGTGTAGTCATACCTTCGGTGGATTCCGAAGAGAATACAGCATTGTTCTGCAGGATAGGAGAAATGTCGATTCATTATAAGCCATGGACATTTTCTCCCCCTGGGGTGTGTTAGCAGAAGCTGCATAACCAGGTTCATTAAAATAAGGTTTCGCATTCAACACCAAGGCCTGAATGGAGACTAGGACCTGCAGCATGGTTGAATTGGATGGGTTCCACTTCTCACACCCATGCCCAGACCAAGTGTTCAATAGGCTAAGACAGACTTTCCCGCTATCATAGAGATTTGGATTAAGCCGCAACCCTCCCGAGCGGTAGTTCACTAGCTGAAAGAATAGCCAATTATATGTCACACATGCAAGCTCAGAATAGAGAGAAGGAATAACAAAGCTTTATGGATGCATATGACATTATTAACAAATCCTTACTGGAGGTTTCTTGGGATACTGGGAAGGGAAATATACATCGAAAAAGAAAAGTCCATCATGGTAAGGAGTGCCTGCCGGTCCAACAATGACAGCCCTAAGTAGTTCCATCCTATCCTCATAAACTCGTACAAAAATTGTACCTGCTCAATATGGAGGAAAGATGCAGTCAGGACATGAACTACTGCATTTCAGTTTTAACATCCAGCTACATCCAATAGAAGTTACAGAGAATATACTCAAGGTCATTATATGCATTATGAAAAACGGATTCATATTTTATTGTAAACATGTATTAGAGCTTTTGCTCACCTAATGTGCGTGTACAGAAAGAGGAATGGAAGAACAATAGTATGGGGAAAAAAAGGAGCACTCCCTTAATCAAATGTGCAACATCTGGAGTAAATAAACCATAAAAGAACAGAGAGCTCTACCTGGCAAATCTTTCTCCAGAACTTTCCATTCATGTTGAATCCGCCTCACCCAGTCCTTGGATGGCTGCCAAAAAACAATGATTACATTTAATTGCAGAGATCAAGTGAAGATAGAGCACGTGCACGTGCAAACTCATACCTTCTTGACTTCAGGAACATTCCCTTTGCCTGACATTGAATAATAGTGATCACTGTGGTCGGTAACAGTATCAAACTGCTTAAATGCCTTATACTTCTCATCAATTTTATTATCCACGGTTTTAATTTCCTTATGCTTCCGTGGTCTCCCAGGAGTTGTGCATCCCCATGGTAGAACTGTGCTCGTGCCAGGTTGATGGCTTGGACCAGGAACATCCTCAGCCAAGCCACTCTAGAATTACTCAATGGAGAAAGATATATCAACTGTTAGCATAGCACACTAAACAATGGTAAACAAAAACACTCCAATGAATTAACCTTTGGATGCTTTGGCCAATCCGAAGGATGACTAACAGAATGATTACTCTTGTGACTCGACGCCTTCTCACAAATTATCATAACTCCATCAGGATCATCATTGGCGTCGAGATCAATTATTTCGTGAGCAACAGTCTGTTGATTAAACATATAGCATATTAGATTCTTCGCATCTTACTCAAAGTTGCAATAACGAAACTGTTATTTCTCGGAGGGGTTTCGTGAAATGGACCTTAAAAGTCGTAACACGGCTTGTGTGGCACAAACTAATTCCCAGGAACAATCAAAAGACACATAGAAAGGGAAATGGGATACAAAAACATACTTCAGAATGCAAAGTGAACTATGTATGACTTGTGCTGGCTTTCCAGTAAACAATTGCTACTTTCATGAGAGGATATGCCTAATGGCTATAAGTTGGATTACACCCAACGACTCCACATTCAGCATGGGGTATATCTTGTCATTTGACAGATAAATTACACGAACACAACCAGCCACCACAATAGACTTGGTGGAATCACTACAGAAGCCAATGCGGTGATCTATATGGCAGAATTGGATTTCCATTGATCAATCAAGAATGAACAAACTGCAAGTTCCATGTTTTATAACAGGCATACAACACATTATGGCACCCAAAAGAAAAGAAAAAAAAAGAATCAGGCCATTTCCAATCCTCTTCCCAATGCTGATACACGCGCGTATTGGAACCTCCCTACCGAGAGACAGCCCAAACCCTTGCAAGATTCAGAGACGCAAAAATAAAAAAAAGAAAGAAAAAAAGAAAAAAGAAAAGAAAAGAAAGTAGAAGAAGAAGAAAGAGAGCAGAGAGGCCTTCCGTGCGCTTCCGCTTCAGGCGCGCGGAGCTCCAACGCGCCGCCGCCGCCGCCTCCGGCGACACCTCGACGACATCCGGATCGCCCAACGCCCACCTCCTGCGACCAAAAACCCCCCAGCATCGCATCGCATCGCATCGCAACCCCCCCAAAACGAACAAAGAAACGCATCAGACTTGACCCGAGCAGCGAGCGCCCGCGTGTGCTGCGCGGGGTGTGGAGGGGAGGGCAGCGTGCGCGCTCACCTGGAAGAGGAGCCCTCCCCCTCCGCCATAGGAGGGGATTGGAGCTCGCCGCGTCGCCGCCAATGCGATCGCCGCCACGGCCGCGCGCTCGCTGGCGGGTAAGATTTTTTCGCGAATACGAAACCGTGGGACGCGGAGATGGGGGGAACGGAATGATGATTTAAATTAAAAAAAAGAAAACAGAGAGAGATAAAAATCCCTCAAATTTTGGCTTGCGGCTGCGCGCTTCGGTTTCTGGGATTTGGAAAGGAAGGTGGACTTGCTCGGTGTGGTGGGGCCCACGGGCGGCGTGAGGCTGACATGTGGGGCAGGGCATGAGCAGAGGGTGTATGTGGGGTACGGCTGTCAGTCGGCGTGCTTTTTCCTTTTCTTTTTTTTTGTTCTTTGCGGCCAAATGAGCATATTTCCGTTCCAAAATGTGTACTCCTAAGTAGCTGTGCACATGGGATGGCAACCAAATGCCCTTTCTGTTAATCTTCGATTCTCTTTAATTCCCTTTCAAACCGAATCATATTTAAGAAATGAAATGGGAAGACATCTATACTAGAAGATTTTAGAGGCTGTTTTAGTTGATAGCCACAGATTGCTACATTTTATCATACTTATGCATTGTTATATAAGTATAATCATGTTAGATGCATATTTTAGTTGACATCCATAAGTATGATAAGAATTTATGTAAATTGTGACAGCTTTAATTTGGTGGCTAAATTATGGTTTGGATTTTGATGGCCTCACCTTTGATAAGCTTGACTAAGAAAGAATGATAAATCTACGGAACATTACCAAATAGCCCGGCCGTTAGATTGCTTTTTGCTTGACTTCCTTTTCTTTCTTTCTTTCTTTTTTTTAAATATTTTGGCAATAATTTTGCATTCAAAAATGGAGAAGAAAAGGGTTGGGTTATCTTTTTTTTTTCCATTAAACACCTCACTTGTCACTTCCTCTATATTAGATTAGATTTCACATGACCGGCAGATGGAGCGATGTGTTTCGCGAGTTCTGAAGTTCCATCCACCAGAAAAATAACAACGGAAACTGAGTTTATTATATATCCCCTTTTGATCTCACGTGGTTTTCACCATCTTTGTTAACCAATCGATGCATTCGACTCACTCCATGTACACCAAGATGCAAAAACTGCACCAATTCGCGCGAAACCAGGGTCTGTCATCATCAACCCTAAACCTCTCAAGTCACAGAGATGATGCCATAGTTTAGCCCTCGTCGGTTGGTCCTATGCCGAGTATAAGCTACCAGCTTATTAGCAAATAAATACTACCTCCGTCTCAGAATATAAGAAGTTTTGGGTTAGACATGATTATTAAGAAAATTAGGTGATTTCCCGTGCTTTGCTGCGAGAATTATTAAGTAATTTTCTATATATTTTTTTGGGACAATCGAGCTAGGAGTAAAAAAAAAAACAAATAATGAAACATGAGGGTTTATCAGTACATATCATGAAACAAAAAAAATGATATTGTCGACGTTTGAGGTCACGACTACGGTATTTGCATGGTATGGAGGTCATTGGTATCGACGGGTGGTACCCGTAGACCGGATATAGAGGGTATTGGGGTACGTTGGTACAAGGATCTACGTAATACGACATCAAGCAGACAAAAGACGAGAATTATACTGGTTCAGGCCCCTTGGTAGGTAATAGCCCTAATCCAGTTGATGTGGGATTATATGGTGGAAAACACAGGTTACAAAGGGAACAATGGAACTTGACAGATCCGGCGAGATCGTGGTCGAGTTGGCTCGACTAGATCCCCGACGATTCGGCTGCTTGCAGGCTCTGACTTCGTAGGCTGTGAGGGTTGTGTTGGCTCTGAGATTCGATGCCTCAGGTCCTCCCGGGGGGTCCCTTTTATATCGCAGGTCAGGCGGTTTACAAATAGAACTCGGAGATAACAGACCCTATACGATACATTGATGACCCAGTCTTGTCCGAGTAGGACTCTTCCCATCCGTAGACTCCGTGAAGGATTTCCTTAGTGTACGCAGGAAATATCCGTATGCGCGTGGGTATGCCGTACCGATATGTAATATATATCGAAGGGTAAAGGGTATGCCTAACCTGTAACCCTGACAGTAGCCCCCCGACTTCTGCTTAAATGAACTCGTGTAACCATTCGCGACTTCTTGTGTCGAGACTATTGTCGTTCCCGGTGTGAGGACTGTAGAGACAGGACGTAGTCGAGAACACCGTGTGAAGCCCAACGGTCATGAGTGAATTTAAACTGAAGTCCAAAAAACTGCCGCGCGTAACGGACCCAGAAATCTCCGGCGGGCATCTCTCCCCTTTCCTTGGAATTCGTACTGTCGGAAGTGCGTCTATTTAAAGGAATTTTGGGGATCCATTTTGAAGTCCGCCTATTGTGAAGAAAACATCCCGCCTGTAAGCGCTCTTCGTCTTCTCCGCTGCCACAAGAAACCCTAGTTCATCGACCTGAGCCCTTTCTTCGGCGATCTCCGATCAACGATGGACCTCGGCAAATCATCCTCCACCAGTGCGTCGCTGAAGAAGCTTCAGGAAGACGGCGCCCATCCCGGTCGCGGAACCATGGAAAGGGAAGCAGGAGGTACTAATCCCCAGCCCGTCTTAGGTCGCATGGTTGTGACCGAAGACTATATTCTCTGCGGTTTTCTCCCTCCGCCTTCCGAATTTCTTCTCTTGGTTTGGAACTTCTACGGTCTTTCTCTTCTCCATTTGAACCCCAATTCTATCGCCTTTCTTAGCATCTTTTCTCATCTTTGTGAGGCCTACATTGGGGTAGAGCCCTTTCTTGATCTCTTTCGCTTCTACTACGAGCTGCGTTGGATGGAGTCCAACATGTCTGGTTGCGTCGGGTTCCAACTTCGGGATGGCCTGAAGTCGCGTTATATCCCCTTCCAGTGCCCTTCTTCTCGCAGCAAATGGCGGACTAGGTGGTTCTACCTTCAGATCAAAGATTCGAACCCTGTCTTCGTTGTTCCCGAGGAACAACCGGACAAGATTTCGTCTTGGACCGCAAAGCCCCCTTTGACCCGCTCTCTCCAGTCGTTTATCGACATTATCGACGATCTCCGAGTACGAGGCTTGTCGGGGTATGAAGTCGCTGCAGACTTCGTTGGTAAGCGGATCCAGCTGCTCCAGGATCGAGCCCATCCAGCCTTTGACTATTCCAGACCGGAGGACGCGACCCGGGTTTCTCCTCGGGGTATCTTTCTCGCATTTATCCTGACATACTCATGTTCGCGTTCCTCTTGATTTATCAAAATTTGGTTCTCGATTCATAGGCCTGAACAGTGAAGCCGTGGAACATCGTGTTGGCCAGGTGATGATCAGTGGTCCGACAACGGCGAGTACCATCCCCGTTCCCCTTTGTGAGAAAAGGGCGGCCGAACGTGATGCTGCCATCAATGTAAGTGTACTCGATAGGCATTCTGCGTTTTCCTTCTGAGATCACATTGTGACTTGATTAAGCGTAGGCTCTTCCTCTGACTGACATCATCGGGCCGCTCGCGGAACATCAGGTGGCGGTGTCTCTGAAAGAGAAGGTCGCCAAGGAGGCGTCTGATGCTGCTGCTGCTACTACAAGTGGTGGCAATGTTCGGACAAAGGGGAGGAAGTTCTCCTCTGTAAGCGGACATCGTCGCAAGGCATCAACCCCCTCGGTAAGCTATCCAGTCGTCAGATCGTACAGCCAGAAGAATTTCGCCTTACTTCGCATCGACCGTTTTTCAAGCCTCGGACGCGTCTCCCCCGCCTCCACAACGACGACGCCTTGTGACGGTTGGCGAGAAGTAAGTAGACGAACTTAAGTTTCCATGATTTTATTCGAGTGTTGTCTGAACCATGGCCGTCTCACAGGGCGGCACGGACGAAGGCTATGCAAGACGAGTCCGGAGGGACCTCCGGCGCATCGCCCGCTGCGGCCTCGACGGATGTCGTGCTCGTACCCGGGAGCCGTGAGGCGACACCAAGCGGCCCAGTCAGCGATCCCGCGGCTGGCCGTGGTCTACCGGCTACCGTCCTCACTTGGGAGGAGCTCTATGTCGAGATGGGACGCCTCCTCGAGGCTAGTGCTCGTGGCATCGGTCGCAAGATTGCGGAGGCGAGGTTGACGGCGTCGTCGGCAAACGAGCGGGCTGACCGGCTGGCACACGAGTTGTCGGAGGCTCGTGAAGACCTCAAGAAGATGAGGGAGTTGGTGGCCGGCAACGAGCGACAACGGCAGGGGCTCGAGCACCACATGTCGGAGCTCGGGAACAATCTGTCAGAAATCCGTGGCTCGTTGCGGGTCACCTATACTAGTCTGCACCAGCTCGCCGGGGAGTGCGGCATTAAGTGTACTATCCCGGCGAATCCCGACGAGTTCTCGCTGACATCTTCTCTTACGGAGCTGGCGGCGGCGATGGAGGAGATCCCCTCCAAGCATGCGGCCAAGATCGGGGAGGAGACATCGAACGGGATCTACACCGGGGCGTGCCACGTCCTTGCGTGTGTAAAGCTGGCGCATCCTGAACTCGATCTGCGCGAGATCTTGGATCAGGGGGCGGCTAGCAACACGCGTAAGGAGGTGATGGAAGAAGTCGGTGATCTGGGGGAATCTGTTCTCTCCCTTTTTGAAGAGTAGGGCCTCTTGTACTCGCTAGATATGCTGTATAAAACTGGATCTTAACCGCCTTTGTGCGAGTAGTTATTGTTCTAGCTTACTCTTGCATGTTGATCTTGACAGCTTTTTGTCCCTTGTAGAGATGTTGATGACGGGGATGTCCAGCAGCGCGGGCAACCCGAGTCACCGGCGATTATTCCAGCTCTCACATTCGAACCACATGCGTCGCCCGACAATGTAGACCAAACCCTTGCTACGGGGACGGAGATGGCGACCACTTCCTTGGGTTAGTGGTCCATCCATCCCTTTTTGCTTCTCCGACTAGATCCCCTATGTTCTCGGAAGAGACGTGTAGCCTGACTTAGTCGTTCCCACACTAAGCAGATCTCGAGAGTGCTCTTGCTGGCCAGGATTGTCGTATCCAATATTGGAAGACAAAATTTGAAGTAGCGGAACTCGAGAGGACTATGCTTGCAGTGAAGAAAGAGCAGGCTGTGGAAATGCTCCGAGGTCGTGAGGTGTGGTTCAACTCGTATTTGAAGAGTTGCTGCACATCCATGGCCAAGGTTTGTAGAGAGCTCCGAGTACCTCGTGGGGATCCCGAGGAGTCCG